TTCTATGCGACCGGCTCAAGCACGGTCCTTGGAACAATAACAAATACAATCCGCCGCAGCGTTGTTTGACTCAAGCTCAACGGATCAAATCCGTAATGTCTTGTGGCGCACAATTTTTCAGGCGCTTCTGATCATGCTCATGCCCCTAATTGCGCATCAGGGGCAAATCCCTAGTATTACCCATGACGTAATATTATCGCGAGTACGCGCCGCTTCGGCCGGCTCGCCTGTATAGCAGCCTGGAACACGACAGCCTCAACTCAACTTTTCCTTTCCTCGTGACTTAGTGCCATCATATGTTTAGATCGCCTTATGTAGCACCCCCACATAATCTTAGTATAAAATGTCCGCATAAAGCCCCTTAGAGAGCCCTGTATGACATTTTGAAATACAATACCTCTATAGAACTCTGTGCAATACCTGAATGGCCTTATAAAATTTCCCAAAGCACCGTTTGGAAATTACAGGATCCTCCAACGGAAGGAAGGAGGGGAGTGGTGCAGAACATCTTTGGGTAGGAGAGAGGGGCCGGGGTCGGGGGGAGGGTCGCCGGGCCTTAAATTTTCTTTCTACCACGCAGGTTACACCCCCGAAATTATTTGATTCTGGCGAACCTATGTTTTCCACCCAGTTGCACCTGCACTGTTCCTTTGGGAGGTGGGTGTGTGTAGAGTTTTGAGCGACTTTATAAAATATAATATCACCATATAACCCTGTGCAATACTTGGGTGGCATTTCAAGTCTCCTAAAGCATGTGTATGAAAATTACATGATAACCCAAACACCGGGAGGCCTTGGCAGGCTATGGGTGGGGGCGGGAGGCGTTTGGGGGAGGGTGGGAAGGGGGGGGGGGCAAGGATCAGGTTGGACTTCTGGGTGACGTGATTCGCACGAACTTGAGGCCCGACTCCATGCTTTCCGCCCAATAACTGGTTGGAGCCTTGCTCTCCCTAATCGGAGGATTTTCCCGTTTCAAAACGGCTCTTGCAGTTACCTTGTTGATTCAACAAAAACCATTTGTGGATTTGGGTTTCCTTGACGTCTCCATTACGTACAGCAGTGCAGTGCCAGCCAGGGGTGGTGGATTTCGTTGCTGGCATTTTGAGCCAGCATTTGTTGGTGAAGGGTGATTTCATTTGCTTGGGCAGCATGTTTGCTTCTTGCGACAGCATCCATCAATATCTGTCAGATAAGTTTCTTGAAGCGAATGGGGTTCTCGCACTAACTATATAGTTTTAGACACAACAAGTTCAGTGTTTTGAAGGCCGCCTGGTATGGACCCGGTTTGGCGAATGCCCCCCCTGGCCTCTGGAGGTTGGGTTTCCAACATGAAGCTTTTGCAGTTGCATTATATGATGCGATTGAACTCAGCAAAATTATTCGTCTGTGGTTTTTACCGCGGTCGACCAAGACTCGTGGTTTTTGCCTTCGACTTGGCATGCTCTTTTAGCGCAGAAGGATTGTTGATAGGTGATTCACTTCGGAATAACAATGCATGAGCGTAGATTCTAAAGAAACGTAGGAATTCTGTAATATATTTTTTTTTCTGGAGGGACGACGTACGTTCGCAGGGGCCCTGAAAGCTGTTGCTCGTGACAGGAAGCACAGTCCACGGTGGATTCTTCAGCACCAGGTGCACTGGGGAGGCTGGGCGGGAATTTGCAAAGCGTACCTTGGCCAGGAATCTGATTCACAAAGTTATGGCCTGCCTTTTGTAACCTGGAGCTTAGCTTTCTCGGGGTGAGACACAAGACAGATTTGGAAGTATGGCTGGGCGTGTCCTGTAAGACCTCACCTGCAGTTGGCTGAAGATTCCCGCCAGGAAGAGCCTTTTCACGAGGCTGGGCACTACTTTTGCTACTGTGTCTCTGCAACATGATGCACTCCCATTAGGACCTGCTGAGCCAGGTGCACCAGACATCGATATACAGGCCACGGGGTGAGTGCCGGCGCTGCACAGACCATGAAGAGGCAAGGAAGTATCAGCAAATGAGGTCAGGTGTCCGTGCTGCCCAGTGTTTGCGCGCATAACCTAAAGGACCACTACAGGTCATCTTCAATTTGTGACGCTTCTTCATTTGTTGATGAAGCTTCACACAGGCCTCGCGACACACAGCGCGGCCCGACACTGCGGACGATCAGAGTCGTGCAGTTGCCTTAGAGTCGAGAGCGTCAGTTGATGAAAAGGTTTGCCCGAGACAGCATGTCAAAGACCCATTGTACAGTGTTCATCCTTGGCCCGATGCACTGCAGGTGCCATCCTCCACGCTTTACCGGCCTAGGGAGGAGGGCAAGAGGCACCTGGAGAAGGAATCTGGTCCGCAGGCAGCTTCTTGTGCCTCCGCAAAAGCTGGAAGCAAGCTTCACGGCCAAACTGGCATAAAAGGATAGTTGCCTGCAACGGGTTCCCTTCATGTGCATAGTCATTGAAACCTTGCATGCAATCCACATCCGATGTTCTGTGCACAGCTGGAAGCCCGCCACGTTCAACAGTTCAGCAGAAGATGATTAATGACGAGGAATCTTCAACATTGGAACCCTTGATCATGTGAGTGTCACATTCTGCTTGAGCTGTTTGCATTGCATCCTTCCTGGTTTGGCAGACTCGACTGCTGAGCCTGGGCTTCCTTGCTTCCCGGAAGCCCCATCCAAAAATGCAGCCTGTGGCGAGCCCAGAATTTCTGAGCGTGATTTCTTCTTTGCGGAGCAAATCTGCAACCAGAGCCAGCTCATCTGTTCGCAATCCACTTTGTTTGGCTGACACAGGCCCTCGACCTAGACCCGAGGCTAAGGCAGGGGCAGATTGGTGTGTATGCATATGATTGCTTTTCCCAGACTTGCTTGTATCACGAACGGCACCTTCTCCAGTGTGGCGCCACCGGCATTTTTAGGCCCAAGCCCTTCCGAACCGCCCAATCACACCATGACCATGACCATGATGGCGCGGGCATCTTTGGTCATGCTCCTCGTCCAGCAGGGCCTGGGAAAGGAGCCATCGAACGCCTCTGACGCCGAGTGCCTCCTTCAAAAGAGGCAGGGCTCTGTTGTGATTCGGTGTAGATGTCGGCTTTGGTCTTGATTGCCCGCTCTGCTGCAGGCACGACTTCGAAGAAGACGGTGCTCTGAGCGGCCTGGCTCTTTCGGACTCGCTCCTTAGCTGAAGCCCATTTAAGGTCGAGTCTAGTGAAACGGACCAGAAGGTCCAGGCTGAGCAATGCAAACGATGCTCTGCATCCAGTTGTTGCAGCAGCATTCGCAGCTCAGGATCATGCACTTCGCTGATTCCCTGCAGCCAGGTGCCACGCAGGTGGCTTGTGTGTAGCATGCAGCCTTTGGATCTGAAGCGCAAACACCTGTGGACGCCTGGATAGCTTCCCTCACAGCTAGTCTGAGCTGGAGGACCTCCTGCGCTCCTTCCGCATCTGTGGCCGCTGCAAAGAATGGCGGCGCTTCGGCGAAGAGACACATGGCAGAGTTGAGTTTTTCTTGCTTCAGACACTCAGGCTTCAAGAACGTGTCTGATCCGTGTTTGCTAATGATTCTTGTGCTTCGCTTCTTTTTCCAACATTCGATCCAAACCACACAAAACCAAGCCTCTGGAGCCAGCTAAGCAGCTAAGCTAGAGACAATCCAGCTACGCCAAAATCCCCAAAGCCGGTACATGCCAAGACAAGCACTTTGCAAGATAAGACTGAGATTTAGTTAGCACGTGACCACGTGAACGGCCATCAAGCCATCCTGTGAAGGAGAGATGGTGGGTACTTGTCTTGTGTGGACCACATGGAGCCTGAAGACATCCGCGCTGCATACTCCATGGGCATCGAACACCATGACATGTGGTCCATGCATCTCAACTGCAATTGGAATTGCATCCTTTTCTGATTCTGTTTTTGCGGTCTTCATTGCAGACTCTTGTGATTGTTGACGCTTTCATGTTATAGCTGCCGATGCACACGTTCCAAAGAATTTTACATACATCATCATACATACATGTCAGACTATCTCATGAGTCGTGAGCTTGCCACACTTCATCCCTGTACTACTCTTCTTAGAGCCTCCTGCGCATGACCAGGCACATCCACGACAACTTTGGGGTACCCTGGACTATGAAAGGTATTTGCTTGCTTCTGAGGCCAAGCTCTCTGTCCGCGCGACTCAGCATGTCAGTCCGAAACGTGAGGTCCCCATCTATCAATACGATTGCACGGTCGACGAGCCTGCTGCTGTCTGTGACAAGTGCAAGTTCTTCCAATCCTGCCTGCAGGGTGTGGCACAGCTGAATTGCACAGTGAATTCACAGGTGCTCGACGCGACACATCAGTTCTAGCGTGCTTTATCCAGCACAACAGCTGTCATCATTGCCGCGGGCGGATGAAGAGCCCTCGTGTAGCCTAGGCAAGAGCAGTAAATGTCAAGGATGTGCGCAAAGCTTTTGCTAATGTTGATCCAATCCATCAAGCTCCATCATGAAAGACCAGGTTTGGGAGAGAAAGGCCAGGTGGACCAGTAGATTCCTCAAGCATGAAGGACATAATAAAGTCTCCTCTCAAGCAACCAAGGAAAATGGCAAGGGGGGCTTCCCAGACAAGACTGCCTGGACCCTGAAACAGGTTTGGATGTTTTGTTCTGATTTCCACATCCCTGTGCTCTGTGCTGCTTGTGAAGATAGATCACGAAGCATCTCCTGTCAGTTGTGCCGGCCTTTGTTGGCGCAACTATGCGTCCTGAGTTGACCTTTGAGCAGCCTGGAGAGTGTGTTCATCAATCTAGGCGAATTGCAGCTAGTCTGTCGATCATGTGTTTACTTGCGACAAGCCCGAGCAAACAGCCCTCCCATCCCACAAGTTGCCTCAGCGGAGCGTGGAGGCAATTGTCAAATCCGGCAAAGACAAGCTGCCCGATCGTTGCTCAGCTGCATAAGGTCTGGGCGGGTTGGCAGTGTGGAAAAAGCAGACCATGTTCTATCGCATGCTGGAAAGTTTCGAGGGGCGAGTCAAACCATGCTTGCCAGGAACAGGTGAACTCGCGCGCCCAATCGTGATGGCCGGCCTAGCGTAAGCTTAGGTAGTCTCCTGATGAAGATGGACATTGAGGGTGCTGAGTGGCCTACACTTGGCACAGCGAGCCAGGAGACGTTATCAAAGTTCCGGCAGCTGTTGATCGAGTGGCTAGCCTGACATTGGCCATCAGATTGGGGAAGGCCGAGGGAAATTGCACCATCGGTCAACTTGAGAGATGTCATAGTTGCATTGGGGATTACATTTTTTACATCATTTCCCGGGTAACGAGCGCTGATTCGGCTTGCAGGCTCTTGCGGTGGCTAACAGACTCCTCAAGGGTGATTTTTTGGCTACTTTTTGTCTGAAACTTTCATCCGGAAAAGAAAAAGGTTCCACGACCTGGACGACGAGAAGCGCCACACTGAATTCCTGCAGACCATGCAGAACCTCAACAAGGCGTGGGGTTGTGAAAAAAGATGCAAGAGCTGACTTCCTTCGGTTGATGACAGCCCTTGAGAAGTGGGAAGTTGATCTAGGTGCGTTGCATGAGGAGCAGCAAGTGCCACCTGTGCTCGTTTGTTCCAACCCTGGCCCAAGCCCAGACTTAGGGGTCGGGTGCTCTTCACCAGTCTCGTTCTACCGAGCTACGTGCAGATGGTGTTGGCTGAATGATCTCTCACACTCCCCGCAGCCTAGAGATCCTAATTTTGTCATGTCCTCCAGGCTGGCTTCAAGGTTGTGCACCTGCATGGCAACGATTTCAGCGGCAACTACCAGAAGGGCGGCCCATGTTGCATGTTCATGCCGTTCATGCCGTTCGTGCATTTTATGTTGTGAGGCTTTCTCCAGACAGTAGCTGTCTGCCCAGTAGGTGAATCTTGGGAAGGGCAAAGAACAGTCCCGCCGCTGGCAAGGCAAGTACTCGATCCCTTCTGTCATCGAGGTCTCCATGGATTCCAGCGCTCAGGCAATGGCTACTGCAAAAAAAATCATTCAAATCTTTGTCAAAGACACCTAGTCTTGGCATGGAGAGTTCACTTTGAGCTCCTTCAGCTGGAAGGGGCAAAACAAGCGTGCCATGCTAGATAGGACTAGATGCCATACACCGCTGCAGCTGCAAATAGCTTCTCTCGATGCATGGACTGCAACAGGACATGTCCACTTGCCTTTCGCGCGAGACACGTCTGCCGTTGGACGCCAAGAACAGGCAGGGACTGTGAAGGATTCTCAAACTGACTCGAAGATAAGGATTTTAAGGACGGCATTTCGGTAAAAAGGACCAGCAGCAGCTTCAACAGCTGTTTGTATTTCTAAGCCACAGCTTGAAGAAGGCATGCGATGAGCAACTCTGGTAGTCTGCCCCATAATTTATCACAAGTTCGCAAAGCCTACAAGTCACCTCAACTCTCAAACTGCTATACAGGTGCGTCCTCAAATTGAGGTCTGACCATTTACATACACCATGACGAAGGAGCCCTAATCACTAGGGCCCTCCAGAAAGGACACATTGTTTTGAGGATCTCAGTTCGCTCATGCTAACTTGTGAATTGTGGAGAAGTTTTACTCCTTTGTTCATGCTTACTTGGGCATTGTGTGGTGTATTTGTTAAATGGAATAATCCTAGTGAGAACCCGGCATAATCCAACGGCGCCATCGTGCCAGCAATGGTATTGACTGCACCTACGCACTTATGCGATAGTTCTCGACTTCTGATAAATTAGACATAAACTCTGCGACTACTGACTAGGCCAGCCTGTAACTGTAACCGCAGCCAACTTAGCATGTGTCAATTCAAAGGGCCGTCGGTTTTGTTTTTGTGAGCAGCGTGCTGGCACACTGTGGCGGCTTTCAAAAATGCTGCGTGCTCTTGCTTCTCGCTTTATTGTAGCACACCGGTACATGACCACCTCTCCAAGGAAAACGTCGACTTTTTCTTCATTACCGGAAGAGAGAAGGTAGCAGGTGACCAACATGAAACAAAGCAGTGATAGTCAGCCAGCAAGCCCTGAACACAACATGAAGTGGTAAGAAGTAAGGCCCTGTCTGTGCCTAACGGCGTAAATTCTGCACCATACACCCCAGTCAAAAACACGGAGTTGCGGCTACCAAGCCCTGAACTTCCAAGGGCAGCAAGCTTAAAGGGAACGGTAGCCGCCAAACCCTAAACTAGGCAACGCACTGGTAGCCACAGCTTAGCCAACTTTCACCACAAAACCTAAAAACGCGGATCAGGGTTACAGCTAGCAGCTAGCAAGCTTTGCCCCCTGGCAGGAAGCAAGCCTCCACCCTAGACTCGGCCCTGGACCTGAGAACAAAAAGCCATCAAGCCCACAAGAGGCAACAAAAGCGACTAATGCGGGCCCTATAAGCCATAACCCTCATAACCCTTACATATTGTTAGCAAATCCTCAGAGCAAGCCCAAACTCTAAAACGATGGGTGGCCTCCGGACTTTAGCCCTGAGCTTTGACAGTTGAGCCCATTTGCCGTTGCAAAGGATCGACGGAAGCTGTTCTTTTGCAAGTTATGTGGACACTTTTGTAGCAAGTGATTCTGGCAATTGTTTCAAGCCAGTTGAAGAACGTGCTTTCCCTTAAGTTGCTTCCCCTTAAGTGTCCCAAGCACTGTGGGGCCTTGGGGTGAGTGATTTTCAATTTCAGAAAGTTTTTTTGACTTTTTGATGCAAAATTGGGATTCCATGAACTTCATGTTCCGATCCATCGTCCGACTTCTGCTCAAAATGTCCGTGGCCATGAGGCTTGCTCACTGGTGGCAATCGTTGGCTTCTTATAGGCCCTTCATTTACATTGGCGCTCTCCAACCAGTCACATTGGATTTAGCTTCGTATCCGAATTTGAGACGCGTGGGTGAACACGCGTAATGAATCTGATTCACTTCTTGGTTCTTCCTGTTTTTCTGTTTTGCTTTTGCTGTCAGGAAAAGGATGCCAAGAGGAAAGAAGGAATTGCCAAAGGCAAATCTCCCTACCCTGTGAGACTTCGGTCATGGTGCGTATATATTCTCCCAGGTCATTTGCAGAATGGCGTTATGGCCACGTGGAGCTTAGAAAATAGTTTTTTTTTGCAGCTGCCTGTCCTTAAAGGCAAGTGGCTGTACTTTTAGCAAGTTTCGAGCAGGACGCATGGAAGGTTGAGTTTGCAGCTGCCAGCTCAACCTTTCCTAAGACCCAGCAGACTATGAGGCCTGCTAATCGTGCGTCAGCAAAAGCGTTGTCAAGTTTGGTAGTGACTTGTTTTGGCAGCACCGTAGTGAACATGAAGGTTGTTATTCATGTTTTCAACCTGAGATTGAGTAGCTGGGGAATGGCTGGTGCTCTTTCAGAGTGTGTTTCGTTTCTGGAGCGCTGCAGTTTGCTGATCCTATCATGGTCTTTTGGGGCATTCACCTTCATGAATAGCAAGCCCTTAGTGAGGCTTGCAGGAAATGTTGTTAACGTCAAGTTTGCAGCAGTACTAGCCTCTACGGTGTGATCAAATTTCAACCTGCAGCATGTATTGGGACATACTGTCGATCCTCTCGATCGCGGCCATCGCGTGTAAAGACTGTGCAAGCTGCAAACCTCAAGCCCAAACCTATCCCCAAGCCTGTCCAAGTGTTGTTTTCTGTTGATCATGGCCCGTGATGATTGATATGATGGTGTTTGTAGGGATCCCCTCAAAACAGAACATTGAAACAAAAGGTCATTAAGGCCTGATTCAGGGTAACTAAGGGAAACGTTGGCTTAGCTGGGGATTACTGATGGCGGGATCCCTTATTGCTCTATGACTCTATGAGTTGGGTCTGGCCCCCACCCGGTAAAAAACTGGTATAATCGCGATATGTAGGAACCCGCATGTAGTTGCCAACATCTGTTATTCTTTGTGGTAAGATCATCGAGCGCCTGCCTTGCAAATGTCTTGGACCGTCTAAGGACACGGAAGAGTAGACCCTGAGTTTTTGAGAAGCCCTTCGCTGTACCTGAGCAAATGCTGAAAATGCCCTGGCCATCCTGCTATGTTTTCCTCGGCGGGATCCCTTGACTTGACCATCCTTTATTCGTTTGACAGAAGCCGGGCCGGCACCCCTCGACCTCGGCCCTGGGAGGCTGGTGCATCAGACTATTTTGTTCTGCGTTGTAATTGTGTTCTTCTCCCCCACAACTGGACAGCTTCCAACATGGAGTCATGGAAACATTCATTGTTCATAGCGGGAAGGTTTATTGTGGGATGTGATCAAGGGAGCTCCAATCTGCTATCCGATACGGCTTGGTGGGTAAGCTCTTGTTGCCTTTCTGGGCCTGAAGACGGTGCCACAGATATTCTACTCGGGGTCATTGTGTTAGGGATCATTGATCAACGCCCTACTGCCATGTGCACAGTCTTGAACTGTTGCATTACTCAAAGCCTTTCCAGTCTGAGCTGAAAGCTTCTCTTGCAGTCGTGCTCCTCCCGCGAGCGTCTAGATCCACAGAAGAAACTGCTTCTAGTCTCTCTAAACCCTACGATCTTGACTAGTGCTACAACATTTTCCTACCATTTCTGTTGTTCTTGCTCTCGCCTGTTGCACATCTACTTCAAAGCCGCCAACCCAAGAGACTGCGGTTTCTTAAGAGTAGCGGAGTTGCATAGTTTTGGAGACTAGAGTTGGGGTACGTGTAATTAGACCGTTTCTGAATCCAAAGTCGCACTCTGAGCAAACACCATGCTTGTGACATCATTCAGATTACCTGGGCTTGCATGTTTACGGGAATCAGCCACAAATTGCGTTTCATGAATTGCCTCGGGTGCATGCAAAGCAAATCCCAAATTTAGCCTCCACACCCAGCAAACACGCGGAAAACTGCTTTTTACAACCGAGACAGGCATACATTAACACCCCTTTGCTTGGTACTGGGGGCAGGAGCACTTCTACTTGACCAAAGCGAGGGCGTAGACATCCATTCTTGAGCCCTAAACCATCTCTGCAGAAAACAAAGTCTAGATCCTTTAAAGCCCAAGCCCTGGATCCTGAAGCCAGCCAGCATGATGCGGACCCCTGAGCTTGATTCAGGGCCAAGTCACTGGATGCTCATCAGGCCTTTGGCTTGAAGCTGACCGCCAATGCATGGACGCTGAAGAGCTCTGAGCCATGTACAACAGCTGGCCAAGTACAGGTCCCCTGAACTCAAGCAGACTTAATCTCCAGGTCAACAAGATGCAAAGCTCCGAACCTGACACCCTATCCCAAAACATCTCCATCCTGAAGCCAGAACCCATGAGAGCATCCTGCTGACTTTTGTGTACCGCCATGCCGCCAAAGATCACCATCCCAGCAAGCTTGATGCTTTTCGCAACAGTTGTTGCTTAATCTGTGCAATTCTCCTGTTGCCTTCAAATTTCAGGGCTCAGGGTGCTTTGCCCCTGAAGCGGAGATATGGTTGGCTCTTTGGGCAGTATGAAAGGGGTTTTGCTTCGGGAGCTACGGCAGACATGGCAAGGGTGCACTGACGAACCTGTGCTAAATGTGCCTCTGTGCTTGGTGTTCGTTACAAACCCAAAGGGGCACTTCGCGAACTGATACACCTTTACGGATGAGCTTCATTCAATACCAGTTGTGCAAAGGCCTTCCAGGTGCTTCAAAGAGGGCTGGGTAGGCTTTGTCGTCAACAGAAGGGCTTGCAGAGGTCTTGGGCCTGCGTGGGGATTCGGCACTGAGCCTCAGCATCAAACTAATTCCATGCTAGGGGTACCACCAGGAAGTTTGAAGTCGTCTGTGACCAGACAGCTCCTGGAGAGACTGTGGCAGTCGTGGGATCGTGTCCAGAGACGCTTGGCTTTCATAGGTTGACATGTGGTCCTTTTGCAGTCTTTTCGCGCTTAGGCACATACCAATGGAAGTGAGTAGTACCCCCCAAGAGCAAGTCCGCGCAAGGGCAGGATGCACAGAAAATTGTCCAATATCTGCATGCCATGAACTCTTCAGTACTTTGTTTGCTAGCTAGTCTGAGCACGAATGCCACTTCTTAACTCGCGTTAGACATTCAGACAGTAACTTAACAAGCGCGGTTGTAATTGTAAAGCAGTTGCTGAAGCTGTGCCGCTAAGCTGTGTCAGGTTGGGCGAGTGGGATCCGAAGAAGGGCCTGGAGCTGGCTACGGAGGAGATGCAATTTGGCATCGTGCTGGGAATCTTGCTCGCCTGGTTGTTTGCCCCAGGGCTCTAAGGGGAACAGCTTACTTAAGAACGTAGACTCGTTCCGCATGCAAGATTCGGATCACTTGCAAGTCCGCATAGTCTGCTTCCCCACATGCAAAATGCTCATGCTTCCTCATGGACCATTTCACCTGTTTCTGTTCAGTGACTGCAGGAGAGCGTTTTCCCCAACTGGTTCTCTGCACCAGCATCATGGCTGGACTTTGGGGTTCAGCAGATGTCATTCTTGAGCCAGCGGGCTGGGTTGACAAGGTTCTTGGCATTTTTAAATTTTGAGAGTCAAGGCAGGCTGAAGCTGAAGAATCTATCAAGCCTACACATACCGCACAGGAGATATCAGCTGACATCACCTGACATTGGAGCAGTTGCTGTTCCTTTTCCAGTCCTTATACTCTTGCCATCCAGTTGGGATGTGTATGCACTGCTTGGCTTGCTGCTCCGACTAAGATTCCAATCCACCCCGCCAAGATCTTTTTCAAGACGCTCGGCAGGGCTTTCCAACAACAGTCGCACCAGTCTTTTTTTGATTTGCCCGCCGCAGTGATCAAGAACATCGAGCCACACAGTGCCCAGTGTATGTCAGTGTATGTATGCAACGTGTGGCAGCATGATACCAACACAAATTGGAACTCCGAGGGTCGTCATAATTGGCCCGAACGGCGTGCGATGGGAAGGCGGCGACAACAAGCCGGTGTGACTCGTTTGCATGCATGCTCCTGATGTTGGCCTAGTCAAGATCCTGTGAGGTTGAAGCAAATGACTTCGTTCCTGCTCTAAGGCAGCTTTACGAAGGCAAGCGCAGCAAGGTCAAGTCCCTGTATGGTAGTACCTCGGCTACAAGCATAGCTCTGACGACATTTTGGTGCAGACTCGTGCAGGAAACATGAGAGCAACCCTGGACACCTGCCCCTGAAATAGATGCAATAGAGGGTGTGGAAAAATCATCGACAGACATCCATCCTTCTGTTTTGTACCATTTTGTACCATGTCTTTAGTGATTTGCTGGAGTTTCCTGATCATGCAGCCCGTGTTCTGCATGCACTTGGAATCGCTGGAATTGCTTTTGATGAGACCTATCCCATCCGGAATTTTGGAAGATGATGTTCCCAATCTGGCCAACAGGTGAGGACTTCATTGCTGCCACGTCTGTGGCTCCAAAGGAGACTTGGCTGCCCTGGTGCCCACAATCCACGAGTTGCTAAACGCTAAGCAGCGGGTCGCTTGTCGCTCATGCATGCAAATGGACCCTGCTTCAGGATATTGACAAGCTCACACCTGCGCCTGAGCTTCTGCCAAAGCCAGCCATGGAGCAGGAGAACGGCATCTAGGCAGGTCCAGGTTTCAGCCGGGATGGTGATGCTGCAGAGCTCCGTGCACAACATGATGGCCCGCAGTAGATGATGCTAAACGTTCAGGACAAGAGTGCCAATGGCTATGCCGCCCCAGAGGTGCGACATGCAAGGTACAGGTTTCTGGGTTGCACCGCGCCACTTGCTGCTTGTAATTTGTTCTCACAGTGGAAGTGATGGTCTTGGGGGCAGGAATTGTTGGCTTCTTGCTCATGTCTATTCGGATGGTATGGGGCTGATTGTGCACAATTTCGTATTACCACTGAACGTAGCCATTTTGGAGGAGGCTGCTGCCAAGGAGGAGCCTCTACACGACGAGGCCGACAACGTCCGCGAATAGTGAGTAAGGCTCTTAGGCTCTTAGGTTTCATAGGGCCATCCTTAAAAGCAGCTGTCGATCGCACGTTCTGTTGGCTCAAGCATTCAACTGCAGTTTACCTGCTGATAGCATGAAATGAGCCAACCCCATATCGCCTGAACTGCAGAGCACATCTACCTTATTCTGTAGTGCACAATCCAAGAGAGAAAAACACAAGGTTTGAAGCAACGCCCAGAGTAGCCCGAGGGGTAGAAGCTGAAATTTCGATGGACAGCATGCTGGAGGAGAAACGAAAAAGCCAAGAGGAATTGGTTTCCATGAGCAGCATTGATATAGCACAGAACCCGCAGCCGAGAGTGGCGACAAAGCATGCCGAGCTGGCAAGCCGTGCATAATGGAGACTCCTATGTGGCTTGCATGGCAAGACTATTGCATTTCCAAAGTCTTGAGCTCATGTTGGATTTGTGAGGGCTTGCCTGAACAAACAGCTGGTTGGCGAGGACTCCACCCTTGTTTGGCTTGAAAACTCAGACCTAAGGAACACGTGTTGGCGGCGCAGCTGCAGTCTCTGCACCGTACACTTCTACAGGAGCACCAGATAGAAAAGGAGCTCTGGCCACAAATTGTAAGCTCAGAAGCGAGGCGTAGGGAGAGCTGTTGGAATAGATTCTAGCGAAGGTGTCCATCTGACGTCTGAGAAGCCAGCGATAATGGGCAGGCTACCCTTCACTGGCGTTGAAGGCAAAGGAACAACTTTCTGCAATCGATGCAAGCCTGAAATGCTTGCAACAGTGAGCCTTTCTTGGGTACAGGCTTGTCCTTATTTCCTCATTTCTGAAACAGCTGCGGATCCTGAATTCACACCCAGCCCGTAGCATCGTTGAGAATTGGGCTACCCAGCTGCTTCAGTCAGATGCTGCTTGCAACAGTCATCGCATCCCGTTCAGAGCTTAGCAGCTTCGCAAGAAATGGGTGAAAATCCAGGGATGAAGCCAAGTCACCTAGACCTCTGTCCGGCACAGTGCTGACACGCTGAGATACGACTGAGATATGAGTCTGGAGGGCATTTGTCGCTCCTTGCCCAGGACCGGCTTGACCAGTCCTGGCGGGAGAAGCTGGATAATGCCCAGAATGCATCATGGAAGGAGCGGTCAAATGATGTGAGAAGCCTCTTCAATGGACATGTTTATACCATTTTTCAAGAAGAACGGATGGCAAGGAGTTGTAAACCAAAGACTTACCAAAGATTGAACAAGTCTTGAGCAGCAGGAGACCCAAGACGATGGAACTGCTTCTGAACTCGCGACTGCGGCTTGGCTTTGGGCCAGGCCGTCCGAGGAAGGCGAGCCCGCAGAGGAACCCTTGGGGCGACCAGAGGAGCTCTGGGTCCCCAGGTCAGTTCCGCAGCGATGGGCGGAGCTCGCCCACAAGCTGGCCAACAACGAAGTTCGGACGGAAGAGGCGGAGTTGTCCGTCTCCTCTGCGAACTGCGCACTAGTGTCTTGGATGCCAAAGCCAATGTGGATTGAACTGTGTCCGGTGATCCATTTAGCACTCCAGTCACGAACCGAGCAGTGAGTGGAGCTTGCTGGCTGGCTTTCTTAGGTGATGCACCCCACATGGACGATCCTGGGTCCTTGTTATTTTTTGTGCTCGTTGTGGACTCGTTAGTTAGTTAGTTCGGGCTCCAGATGTTTGGCAAACCTGCTACTGCATCAAGCAGTTGGTGCAGCAAGCGTTAAGCGCTCTCAGTCTCGAGAGTGCCCGTCTACGCTGAGGATATCTGTCCAAGAGGCCTTGAAGCGACACCAGCACAGGAACTATCACATGCCAGGGGCCGAGGCCTCCCCCTTCAGAACAGAAGCTTTGTTTTCTGGTCATCAGTACTCACTACTGATTAGTGTCGTGCAGGAGTCGGCCTCCACGCTGAAGATGAATGAGGCCATCAAGGACTCATCGTGTTTGCAGCGTCTCTGGGCTGGCAGAGAGCAGTCACTTTGATCTTTGCCCTTCACGAAGCAGAAGTGGACTTTCTCACACTTTCTCAAGGCTTTGTGATTCCTCCTGGGAGCACCGCCCAGCTCTTCTTGTCGCTGATCAGCAGCTTCCTGATCGTGCCTTGGCAAGTGGATTTTGACTTTTCACGCGTTGCCTCGATGCCAAGCTGTTCCCGAGATATGGGACCTGATCACGATTCCCTTGGAGCTCTTTGACCTGCCTGACTTCTACAGCTTCCTTGTGGTATTCGGCAAGGACGGGTGGGGTGAAGGGAGGTGGTGACCGCATGGGGACCAGCTTTTACAGGAAACCTGATCTGCAGTTTGACCAGCTCCGGATGTCCATGAACGCTTCACTGCGGAAGGTCAGCTTTGGCTTCTGGACGGTGAACATTCCGCTGCAATTCATTCTTGGGGTGGAGGTGCAAGGGAAGATGGTGCCCCAGCAGCAATGGCAGTCGGGATGGGAGACATGCCCAACTCCGCTGGAGAGGCACGCGAACTCAACACTGCAATGCCGATACCCCGTGATATCGCAATTCAACTGAAGCATTTCTGGGCTAAAGCTAAACTAAAGTGAAGCCGGCAACAGCGGCTAATCATTTGCTTGGAAAGTGAACGGCTTTCGAATCACTGCTGACGCATCAGGAAGTTCGACCACCTGTACTGGCACGACTCTACTTGCAAAGCTGGTTTGCAGCTTGTCTAAGTGCAGAGGGTCCCTTCTCATCAGGAAGCGACAAGCAGACCTTCAGGCGGCACACGTAGTGATAGCTCAAACCCATACTACCGAATGATCTGAATTAGAGGGCATTCCCCTGGTGACGTTGGCACAGCTCGTTGCGTTTGCTTGTGAGTACCAAGGCAATGGATGTGCTTGTGGTGAGTTTGGATGCAGTCCTGATACTGCTCGAAGACCGGGAGGCCCGATTTAGCACTGCGAATGAGATGGGCCTAAGTCAGCCAAAGCTGTGGTTGTAGCCCTGTCAACATGCCAACAACAAGAAGATACAGAACCCAGTGCTGCGGGGTACGAGGCTGCAAGTGCAATCTGAAATGTTCCTGTGAGCCGAATGCTGCCGAGGGTCATTGTAAAACTTAAACCCACTGCCCCATCTTCGAAGGATCACACAACAGCTTCAGCTTTCTAAGTAAAGTGGAAGTGGAATGATATCGAATGATTGGCATGTTAGCAGTTGAGTAGCTAGAAACTTTCCTGAAGCCTGGAAGACCAGTAAGCTTTTCTGCTGAAGGGTCTTTGAGGCTGGCAGCCTGAAGTCGGCACGCTTACTTCGCACCCTTCGCCTATTGCGGCTGGTGCGGCTGCTGCGTGCTGCTGGGAGGAAAAGATTCAGGTCTTAGGGATAAGTCTCATTTAGAAATATCCTGGCTCCATGCTGTTGCATTCGCCAAGCTTTCTGATTACAGCGCCTTGATTACTACGGAAAACGGACTGGAGAGGACGAACTGAGGTGGCCAGATTGCAGCACCAGCTCACTCTCCTGGCCAATCGCTTCCTCTCAGCCAACTCCTTCATGGTGATGAAGGTGGCATGAATCAAAAGTAGAGAGGTTGGATACAAGAGTGGTGGGCTTTGAGTGCTGGAAGGTGGTGGCTGGTCTCTGCGGGATTCTTGCAGCTTGGCAAAGAGATCATGTCTGAATCGCCACTCCAAAGGGCGCTTCCGAAGCTATGCATTTGCAGTAGCCGTACAAAGTGCGGATGGTTTTTGCAAGTGTAGGCTCAGCATGTAGTCCAAGGCCGTCAACCACATCATCGCCTGCATTTGGTATGGCCTTGGCAGTTGGACACGAGGGCTGAAACATTTCACGAACGCAGATCTAAATTGTCTCGACCTTGGGGGACAGTTCGGCAACTTGCTTAAGTCTCGAGCGCTTATGGGACAGGAGCATCGACGGCCGGAGCTGGATCGTGAGGATGGAGATGGAACAGGCACGTAACGTTCGCTACTGACCTAGATGATGCTAGATGAAAAGGATACCATGTTATATACCAGCCGAGAAGACTGAAAAAGCATGTTGCCAAGCTCTGGAGCCGTCACGCAAGCCGGTCAAGCAGCATAAGCCCTAGATCTCTCCTGCAAGGCGGGTGCCCTGGACTTTTATGCCACTTCCATCCATTGGGTCAAAGCCCCAGCTTGCCAAGCTAAACCAAGCTGAAAGAGGAAGAGGATATAGCTTCCAGGCACTGACGCAGTTCACCCCCGCGACGAACAATGTAGCTCCTGAAAATGCTGTGGAGAGGCTGGAAGTATTTTCTGGTCGATTTTGAAATTCGTACTCCAGACGTTCATTTGCAGGATTTTCGCCATCATAGTGATCCTCCTTGCCATGGGAATGTTGCTTGCCCTTGACGGGAGCATGTGGAAATGTGCTTCTAGCCCCAGCCGCCTGGGCTGATTTTGACCTGCACTTTTGAGGTTCTCCTCATTCATCAGTGCGCTCACATCTACTGTGAGCGCCTACCGAAATGCACGAATGGAGCAGCAACTTGACTCAAGCCTGCGACTGCCAGTTGCTAGTCAAACCCTGCTTGCAAATCCGCACTGGTCAAACCGTGCATGCTGCGATGCTACCAGGGAAAATTCCTTGTCTTTTCCTGCTTCAAGTCTAGTAGCTTCAATGTTAGTCTTCAGCCTAAGACTCACAGCAGGTTCAATCAGCAATCCATGCTCCTCCGTTTCTTCACCGAACGGAATCTGTCCACAGACCTCTATGGCAAGATCCGGGAGGCTGGACATTGCATTGGGCTCACGTGGCAGGGGTTTGTAGGCCTATCCATCTCTGAGTTGAGCTCGAGTCCATGAGGTGATCCAGAAAGAGAGGCATGCCGGCATCAGGCAGGGCAGAAGTGACAGTGTTGTGTGACATGTGTGCCGAGCATAGCAGAGCCGGCGATGCTTGGTTGGCCACATGTGATGCAACGGACCTTGTGCGAGGTTGAAAGAGGATGAGGTCATGCTTCTGCAGAAGGCGCGCTGTCTGAAACTGTTCTTCCCTCCATAAGCATGCAACTCCGCATATCGGTCTTTGCAGTAGTCACTTCCATAGCAATGCATGTATAAGCATTTGTATTGAAGGAAGTGCTGGCAGTAATATCTGAAAGACCTAGAAGCTCGGAGGTCCCCGAGGGTCTCAAGTTCCAGCTGCACGAGGAGATGTTCCTGTCGCAGCTGGCCGATTTTGGTCCAAGCTTTTGCTAGTTTGAAACATTGGCAAGGCTCTCCTTGAATCACGCGATCTCAAAACTAAGGCATGTCGGCAGGCTTCCCTTCTGGCCTGCCTGGAGCCACTTTGAGGTGGCTCGAGCACAGGGGCACTCTTCCAGTCCTGGGCTTGCACAGGAGTAGTCTGAGATCAAGGATTGGTGTAGTGTACAATATTTTGGCTTCACCCTCACGCTACGCTACTCTGCGAAACAAACTCAGCTTTGCTGGTTTTTCCGACTTCTGCTTTGAGTTTTTATCCGAATTTTGAAGGCCTCATCTTTCACCCCACACATCCCTCCCAAACTTCTCTCAAGCATCATACAGGACCAGCACTTCTTCCGAAACCTTTGCCACGGTGCAATGACGGAACGTGCTGCTAAACTGAAATTCAGCACGGCTTCACGGTCTGCTGCAGTTCTATCTGTCGGCTTTTTTCGGAATTGACACTTCTTCAATCTCTTCTACATGCCTTTCTGTGCAGCGAATTGACGTTCGGTAAGGGGCGCTTTGAGGTATGGGGACGGGTGCAAATGGCTTGATGCTGCAGGTGACAACGAAAGGGCATGATGCCTTCACTCCAGAAGGGGACTGCTTGGAGGTGTGATCGGGATGCCTAACTAATGTATCCTCGGGGGGAGGGGGAGTACCCATATTTGTAGGAGGGGGTGTCAGCCCGGAAATGTATCCAGGGGGTGTCTGTTGTTGGAACATGCTGATGCAATGCAATTGGCCATTCGCCATTCTTAGCTTTCTGTAATGGACTATCATCTGAGGGCACGTAGAAAATTCAATCAGCTTGAGGGTAGCCTCCCGTTTGTGTCCGGTTGTAACAAGAGTGTGCGCTGTAGGCGAAAGACAGCTGCAAAAACATGAGTGACAATCGTGTGGCCCAGTTTTGAAAGGCCTTCAATCTGTTCAGTGCTTTTGCTGGGAGTGTATCCACCCGATCCCCCCCTGGATACAATAGTTGCCCGAGATTCCAGGAGCAGTTTGGGAATTCTTGTGTGTACTCTCGGATCTCTCGGGAGCAGTACAGCAAAATTAATGTATCCAGGGGGGGGGGGTGGATGCATTGGGCCGTTTCTTACCAATAGACCTACTACCAGTACTCCTTCCCTTGCACGAGCCACTCACGAGCCCACGAAAACGGTAGTCTGGGCTTGCTGTGCACGCAAAGCATCCACCTGCAGCACCACGAGCTTGACTACGAAGTTGTAACATGTTATAGTCAAAGTAGAAGGGCCCGTAAGATGTTGTAAACATCCTCGATTGTTGCTCAAACCCCTGACCCCTCTAGACCCTGAACCTAGTTTGGCCCTCCCCCAGAATCCCCCAGATACATTCTCCAGCCCTGTAATGCCCTGCCTATTCCTGGCGAACCCCCAATCCAAAATGTATCTTTGACGGGGGGAGTCCCCCGAAATCAGAGTTCGACATACCCTTGAGGTGTGCGTGCTGGAAGCAGGCTGGGCCCGGAAGCAGCCAGATGGCTTTCAAAAGCACCGGCTGCGTTCAACAACAAAAGCGCATGTAGGTGACAGAGTCAAGCCCTGATAGGTTGCATGTCCTACGAGCCTGCGGAGGGCGCACATGCTCGGCGGGCCCGAGAAGGCTGTCATGACGGGTCTGGCATTGCAGTTGGGGATGGGCATTGAAATTCAGTCCTTGGGGTTTGGAGTTGGAAGACAAAGTTTAGCGTATCTATTTTTCTCGGAAAAAAAGCGATGGCTGCGCTGAGGGTTCACTGATTTTACGGATGTGAGCTTAGCATGACAGGATTCACTGCACCTGTGCTCTTTGATGTTCTTTGCCAAAAGATCGGCTAAGGCAGGCAATGGATGTTGACTTAAGCTGCCTTGGTGTTGAAGCCTTGGACACCGTCTGCACATACTTTGCACCAATCTTAGCGCCACTTCTTGTGGCACAAATGTGCGAATCTTGTTGGCAAGTGCCCATTGTGCTGCTCCTTGATGACATCATTATCAGTGTTGAGGCAGCGCAAATCCTCTAATTAGCATTGAAGTTGCAACTCTTGCAGAATACTTTTCTCCAAGGCCTGACGATTCTGAAGATGTAGCGGCGACGCAGCTCATGAAGAGACAAACTACATGATCAACATCAAGTTCAATAGCAAGAGTAGCCTTGCAACGCAGTCAGCCCATCCAATGCACGTACCGCAAGAGATATGGCAGATGCTCAAGTCGTTCTAGAAGAAGCTCTGGACAGTTGTTCCCAGAACCACTTCAAGGCCTAAGAACGAAGGTCTTTGGGCTTGCGGTTGTACAGGATTTCTTCCAATATTCCCACCCCCAAAACAACCGGTCATGCAGTGATCATTCAGGATCCATTTTCTGCATGCCAGCCCTTTGGGCAGAGTGGCAGTACCGCGGTCGACTGAGTGCCCGTGGCTGGGCCCAGTCTTTTTGTAGCCCTCTTGGTTTTATGGGCAGAATGTAGTATGGAAAGTCTGATGCATCATCATTCTCACGCAAACTGGCATCAGACAGCAGAAGTAGCGCTGGCTCCGTTTGAGTCCCTTCCTTGTGCCATCGCCTGGGAAAACTGAAGGCTACGGCACCTGCTACCACATTGGCCTGGACACAGCAATGTTCTGCAGGTGCGCTATGGTCCCTCCGTGTCTTCTCATTCCAGTCCTAGCTCAGCTCATGTCAGAGTCTTCGGCCAAGTGGCCCCAGTGCTGCAAAGATGACCCTCAGGCTCGCTGCGCAGGCCGGTGGCCCTCTCTGGCAGTTTTTGCAGATCTTCGGGTTCCTCTTGGTCAGCTCGATCCTCACCGCTTGATTTTGGTTGCAGGGTCGGGGACATCTTGTGGCGTAGGGTGTTAGAACTGTCACTGTAGAAGAACGAGGTCGACAAGCGGGGAATGACGAAGTTTGAGCAGCAATTGTGCAGCCTACGCTCGTGCTGTAGGAAGTGCCGCCTTGCCGGCAGAGTCCACAAGTAATTGATCCTGATGCATCTCAGGATTGAGGCGCTGGATGAGCAGGGAGAGATCGTGACAGACCTTTGCTTGGAGGCCTAACGCCTCGGCAGTCAGGGCCGGTGCTTTTGGTCTGTTTCAGGTATATATGACAATGTGTGAGAATATGGGGCTGTTGGCGCACATGGTTCCTTGCGCACACGGCTTAATGCTGCCAGCAGGCCAGCAGGGACTGTTTTTCTTCGCTCTGGCAGGAGGCGAAGATATCAGAGCTGGTCTCCCGGACACAGCGTAACGTGGCAGTTTGGAATAGTGGAGGTTGCAATGCTGAATCCTCGATGCATCGCACACAACGCTGGAGTTCGAAGTCATCATAGTCGCGCGTATTTCAGATTCCTAGTGCTATCCTACCTGTATGTTTCAGCACAAATCCCTGGCGTGTTTGGCTCTTGTCATTGGTTTGCCATTCCTGGATTGGCATGCTGCTGACCTGATAGTTGAGTTGAGGCTACTCCAACAGCATCCATGAAAGGGGCGGGCTCTTCCACTCGGCCTCGGCGCGTGGGGGTGTTGAACCTCGACCTGAGCAGAGTTTCAGAATATTTCAGGTTGGCAGTCTAGTCCAAATCCCAAACAGCCAGTTCGCTGCATGATGTTTGTCGCATGCATTCTTTGGTCCGCTCTGGTGCTGATGAGGTGTCACCGCAAATCCCTCACATCTTGCTTCAGAAGGTGCACGACGTCAGGCAGTCTGAGGTAGGCGACAAGAAGGGGGAAAGCCAGTGTGAGCTGTGTGCTGAAGACACCATAAACATATAAGTTGGGAATGGTCCAGAATGAACAGCGCTGCTGTGGCTATCATCGCCTGCATGCCGGGTTAAGGAGCTTCTGGACAGTTCAGGACCGCTTCCTGCAGCGACGCCATAATTTTTATAGCTTTAGCTGTGCTGGCTGGACTGCCTGCGACATCCTGCGACGGACGTCTCCCTGCGGATCCCGCAAAGCGGGCCTGACTGTGGGAGACTCTTCAACTTGGCAACATGTAAAGTAGCAGCGCATGACAAGTACTGAGGCTTTAGAGCAGAACTCCGAAACTCTTTGCATATGCAAAAGAAGACAATCCTTTTGGCAGTGGCTCGTCTCAGTCTTCCTATTCCATGTTTGCATGTGCGGATCACTTCCGGCAGATAAAGGACATCCTGCGTTCCAAGCAGCATTGCCCAGTTGAGCAATTTCTAGTCCAGCCGTGCATCCGCCGCAAGTCCGCGCACACCCGAAATGACACCTGCTACCGATACAAGTTTTCAGGTTTTATGATGGCACCGGCTTAGGTGGCTAGAATCGGCTCCGGGTGTGGGCGACTACACTTTTCCGACCAAGCCAGGGGTTGAAGACGGTGGGTTAAAGTTGCGACGCACGCAACGTACGGAGCGAGAAACTCTGCACGCTGCCGACGGCAGGCACTGCCGGAGTTGCTACCATCCCAATGCTTGCCCCCGGTAAGTATGGAGGCTTCGCATCTTGCATTAACATACCCAAGAGCTTGCCCTTCTCGTGCTGGAAGCTGCCTCCTTACACCTGCTCCAAATTCCAAATGCATGCCATGGATGCGGCGTGAGGTGCCGTTCCCACTCAGGTAGGCAATGGTAGGCGATTTGGCTGCGGCTATGTATGTTCGCGCCGATGTAAGCGTAGGGAAAGCGGTTAGAGCAATTTTTATGTTGTAAGATTCAATGCAAAGCCTGCCGATCGAACTCCGCAAGGCCTCACGTGCCTAAGGCTGGGTTTCCATGGCTCTTCCTGCAGCTGCCCCAGGGTTCTCTAGGCTGGAGCAATGGCCCGACTAGGCAAGGCTTTGAATAAAGTTTCACAAGGGGCCGTGCCTGTTTTGGCATTGTCTCATGTGTCATGCATCATATCATGTCCCCCTTTTAGCCGAGCTATACCTGCCTGACGGATGCACCCTCACTCCACTTCCTGCAACAGCTGTCAAGCAGCTTCGGGGTAGACATCCCTTCCTTTTCTGAAATTGAGCATCTTTGCTGCTGGGGTGTCTGCTCTTTTTTGCACTGCGTTCCCAGATCCCTCTCTTCTGGGTGCCCAGTTTCCGGATCTTTATGGCTTGTATGTCGACTGCATCGGCGGCGAGTCATAAAATGGATCAGAGTGGCATGGCTCAGTTTAGGCGTACGTAGTCCTTTTGCCACTGGAAGCTGAGAATTGGTTGTAGCTGCAACGTTTGGATTGCGGACAGCTAGATGACAGCTGCTGGGCAGACCAGATTCCGGATTTGTCTTGCAACAGGGTGTACATTCCAACCCTGGCATGTTTCAATGGCAAAGCCCTGGAGCCCTAAAGCCGCAAAACTTGTGTCGCCTTTATCTTCTCAATTGCGTACTCGTGCACAAATCCCGACCTGAATGCTGAAACAACCTCCTTTTTCCCTGCAAGACAAACTCGACGGGCCCACCACTCCAAAAGCGGCAGCCTGGATCCCGGCATTACCATGAGTATGAGGACGGTACTGCAGCAGCAGCCGCCTCAGCCTTGATAGCAGCAGCTGCAGTGATGGTTGCTGCGGCGGTGGTGGTGGTGAACAGGATAATGTGAGGCAAGTGTAGAAACGGCCCCAGCTGTATCAATTCCCACATTATTGGGGTTCGTGTTTGTGGTGGTCCGAAGTTGCCACGTTCAGCAGTTCGCCTGAGGTGTCAACAGAGTCAGAGATCTGAAAGGTTTTCAATGAAAGTGTTTGACCAGGTCAAGGCACCTCTTCCAGAATTCGGACGGCTCTCTGAACATGCAGAGCCTTGGCATCGTAAGTTTGCTAGGATAGTTTGCATTGAGCGCAGGCCTGAGAGTGACAGGTCTGCCAGCCTGAAACCCATTCAAGTGGTCAGACAGCGGCTGGCGCCGGCAGGGCTTCCAGCTGTCAGGGGATCTTGGCCTCCGAGAGCGTCTGAGGATGAGCCGCACAGCGAGTTTGATGCTTGTGGATATGGACGAGCTCTTTGCGGAAGCAGCTGCTTGATTGCAAAGCTTTTATGCACCATGCAGCACCTTTCAGATGTGCCAGCCCAAACATATCAGGGCTCAACAGGAATCTCTTCCATCTGCTTGAGCTTATATAGCATTACGTTCCTCACAACGATCTTAAAGTCAAGCTGTCTCAAATTTGTCAAGACCGTGTGCAGTAGCAAGGAAGCGGAGGAGTCCCACGTGAATGAGTTGGAGGAGTTGGAGCGTGAGCGAGAGCGGCTGAACGCCCAGCAAAGGCGCCCGACAGACCCCAGCTGAATCTAAGAGCATTTCCTTCTCATCAGCTTTTGCGAGGCGTGTGGCCAGCACCACCCTCATCGAGGACGACCCGGGCTCCCAGAAATTGGGTGGCCTTGAGACATATTCCTTGTTGTGTCCTGACAATTTTGTTACCCCCGGACCAAGTGCAAGCACTGGAGCGTGTACGCTGAAGAGATCCATTTCGTGCAACAGGCGCTGACAGAAGACGGGAGCATATAGGTGAGAGGAAGCTCAGCAACACAGAATTCTTTCCGTTAGGGCCTGCAGCCTTCTTCCCAGGAGATGGCCAAGATCACTGACTATGCAGACCCATCCCACACAGTCATGTTGCAAGGCTGTCTGCTGACGAATAGCTTGCTGTATTGCCCATGCCGCTACACCCCTGACCCCTAAGGTTTCTGAAGGCTTAAGAAGACCTTTCATTTGCGTTTCGTGGTGGCCTAGCTTGCCATGTTAATCTTCTCTTATGCTCCCCGCAATTGGCACGTCTTCTACATTGCAGTTGAGCTCCATACTTGTGTATGAGACCATTACTTGCTGCAAAGCTGGAGGCTTTAACTGGGAGAGCCACAAAGCCGGCAAAGGCAACTGGTACGGCATCGTGGAGTCCAAGGCCAGGCATTCGCAGCTTTCAGCAATGCGTTCAGGACTGAGCATAGCTGTTTTCTCGGTGTTTCCCAGCGTCATGCAGACCCGGGGGAGCTGTGGGAAGACTTTGCAGATCTGCGATCATCTCGTTGATAATCTCTGGCAGACTCTGGCACTTAGCCCTTGGATCATTGAATCATTTTGAATCCTCTGAATCCAGGTGGACATGTTTGCGGATATGGGCATCACGGAGCCTGTCTCAGATTTCCTTTTTTCTAGCGCAGTCTCGATTTCAGCCTTGTGCCGAAGAGCGTTTGAGATGTTGAACCAATACCTCATGCAGAAACTCACCTCAGCACCAGCTGCGGAATCCATGTCCTCGGGCATGCAGCAAGATTGTTTCAGGACATTTGGCTGCCGCCCTGCTCGCAGTCCGTAGCCCCGCAGGCGCACTGTGGGAGTGGAGCACGTGGCAGCTCTTAGCTGTTGGTCAAGCCCGCAGTGTCTAGAAGGTACAGGAGTAGGACATCTTGCCTCAGTCGCCATCAGGAGACAACGAATGTTTGGTGAGTGATACGGCCTAGAGAAAATTGAGGTGACAGTAGCGCAGACTCAGCCGAGGGCTTTAGTCGATTTCTTTACCCAAGGGCTATTTGCCTTCGCAGCTCTTCAACCTGGATGCATCTGCCTACGGCAAGAAGGCGCTGCGAGAAGCGGTGTTGAGGTTTCCTAGGCGTACGCAATTTGCACAACAGATGATATGGGATCGGCAATTTTGACGGCAGTTTTTTCAGCAATTGGGGACAAGGCTTGATGGCCGTTGAGCAGAGCCCTCTGGGAACATGCAACATCCAAAAACTCCGGAGGCAAGTAAAGAGACTTAGTGCAGGCTGCGTTGAAGTCCCTCCTCAGCAAGCTGCATTCGAAGGCTCAGCCGGTATGTCTTGCCCTTGCTCTCTTGTGAGTTGAAACAAAGCCTTTCAAAGCAAAGCCCGCGACATCGAATGCAGATGATGTTACAAAGGATCGGTCTGGGTCTGATGAACTTGCAGCAACAAGTGGTATCTCCGATGTTGTTTGTCTGTGTGGAGAGGGCATGCGCGGTGTCGCGGACATTGTCATCAATCATCGATGCGGAGACAAGCAGGACGAGTCAGAGATCTGAGTGTCACAGTCCAGGAGGGAGTCTACATGCGAGTCAAGCTAGAAGCATCCCCCTTGTTGCGCTACGTGGCAGTGACTGCTGTATGTCCAGTAAAGACACTGTGGGACTGTGCGAGAGTCATTGTCTTACCAAGTAGAAGTTGCAGCAGCGCATGCCTTTCCTAGAAGAGAATCCGCAAGAGCAGTATGCGACGAAGAGATTAAGATGTGGGGAAAGGACCACGAGGGCCGGTGGAACGTGTTCACCAGCACCGGCATCGAGTCCCGACAGAGCTTCCACGGTATCATGGACTGGCAAGGCAACGGCTGCAGTTCTCTTGTACGAAGAGTGACTCCTTTTCTTGCTACTGTACCGTCCTGTGCGACGCTTTCCTTCAACAATTTTTCTTAACTCTTCCAGTGCGAAAGTACTGTTGACGTTAAAGCTTGCATGACCCCTGTGCTGAAAACAACACAGTGTTGTGGAAGTTGATGATTGTCTCAACGCGACTACGGCTTCTGCCACTTGCACTACCATCACACATTCCTGCCACTACTTGGTGGTGGTGGTGGTGGTGGTGGTGGTGGTGGTGCTGCTGCTGCTGCTGCTGCTGCTGCTGCTGCTGCAACTGCTGCTTCATTTATTGCATTGTTCTTATTATTAGTGGTGGTACGACGGCTAGTGGGGTCAGGTGAAGTGCCCTTCACATGACCCACGTTTCAAAAGAAGCGAGGCGCATGTGCCGCTTGAAGAACAACTGCAAATGCCGCGCAGGCTACAGGATCCGATGACGTCACAAGCATGGTGCTTTTCAGTTTATGTCGTTTTCGGTGCCCAGACGTGGGTTCTGGGCACCGTTGGAACTCGCCTCGACCGTATTTTTCACTCGTCGCCGTTGAGCATGACGTCTCACATCATTTGCCACAGGTCCTGCTGCTTTTTCCCATGCTTCCACTAAAACTCGTTAGCATGCTGCTTAATCACCTCACGACGATAAAGATAGTAACAGCAACAGCCAGGGCGCAGAGGAGACTAGCATATCCACTTAGTTACGGCTATAGATATATATGTATATATATATATATTCATTTTTTTTGGGGGGTTTCTGGCCTGGAGCGTGTTCGAATTTTGCCTTTTCCAGGTTTTTCATCATGTTCCACCATTTTCTATCATTTTCCCAAGATTTCTCCATTTTCTATCATGTAACATCGTTTTTATCTCATTTTCATCATGCCCATATCATTTTCCATAATTTTAGAAAACTTTACTGTAATGTTTTCATCGTTCTCATTACCTTCATCATTTTCATCATTTTCACCACCTATTTGACTTCTGCCTTCTTTCTGTTCGCTGCTCCGGTTTTTGGCTTTTTGGCTTTTTGGCTTTTTGGCTTCTTGGCTTTTTGGCTTTTTGGCTTTTTGGCTTCTTGGCTTTTTTGGCTTTGTGGCTTGTTGGCTTTCTGGCTTCTTCGATTCTAACTCTGTGGTTTCTCGCTTTCTGTACCTTCCTGAAGTAGTAGTAGTAGTAGTAGTAGTAGTTGTAGTTGTAGTTGTAGTTGTAGTTGATGATCAGTAAGGGAGGGTTATGCATTTGCAAATGGGTGGGCGCTGCACCCCCCCCCCAACCCCCCAAGCCTTTGTTACGGCCATCCATGCCTGCCAGTGTCATCGTTTTAAATCATCTACGTACTTTCCATGATCCCGACACTCCCCGCCCCCTACCTTTTTTTTGGCGAGGCCATCCACACTTGCTGCAGTTATTCGGATCATTTTGTCTGCGAATCGGGGTGGAGGGGGTGGGCTGCGCTCCCCCCCAACCCCCCCGCCTTTAATGCCATCCATGCTTCATGTTCTCATGGTTTTTATAAGTGTTTAACATTAGGCTTCATACTTGTTTATCGTGTTCATCGTTGCTTGCCATCATTTTCATCCTAATCGTTGTTCATCATATTAGTTTGTCAACTTCTTATCATTTTCGATTTTTTCGTGACTTTTCTTCATCATATTCTTTCATTTCATTTATTGTTCATTGTGTTTCATCATTTGTCATCATTGTTCATCAGTTCTCATATGTTTTGCATCGTTTTTCTCCATTTTTCATCATCTCGCAGCATTTTCATAGTCTTTCGTCACTTTCTATCATGTTCATCATTGTTCCTTAAGTTCCGTCATGTTTTTTCTTATAAATGTTTCTGTGATTTTCTGTCGTTTGTCATTAATTATGTTTCATTAAGTTCATGGTGTTTCTTCATTTTCTATCATTCTCGTTAATTCTCACGTTTTCTCATCACGTGTATATATCCTTATGCTAAGTTGTTCATTGTTTTCTGCCATTTTCTATCATTTTCATCATTTTACAGCATTTTCAACATGTTTACATCACTTTCTTTCATTGTTCATGTTTTTTTCGCGATTTTTCATAAGTCCTCACAGTTTTTGCCTCAGAATCGTGCTCTCGTGTGAGGCGTCCTTCGATTCTGGGCCCACAGCCCAAAAAATACCAAAGAACAATAAACGTACCAAAAAAAATCCACCCGGGCTAAACCCTAAACCCGAAAGCCTGCACACCTAAACCCTTATCTCTAAACTAAAGCCCTAAAACCCCCTAAGACCTGTCCTGCGCAGGGCGAAGCAGAGTGGGCAGCGTCATACGTCCGAGATGCAGATGGGACTGTGAAGGCCCTCCTGACCAGAAGCCCTACCTTGACTATAGGGTTTAGGGTTCAGGGTTTAGGGGGTTTAGGGTTTACGGTTTGGGGTTTAGGGTTTAGGGGTTCAGGGTTTAGAGGTTTAGGGTTTGTCCTGTTCCTGGCATCAAGAAGACCAGATGCCAAAGGGCTTTGGGGTTTAGGAGTTTAGGAATACGGGTCCTTTTAGGGGCGGTCCGCATAATGAGGATTGTCGTATATAGCAGTTCATTGGCGGGAGTGCACTCAGCCAGTTCCTCAATTACAGCGCTTGGCGTCTAGAAAGGTTCAGCACATGCTCCATACCAACAGGACCTCCTGCTGCTAGACTCATAGTCATTCATCCTCGCATATCATCCAGTAAAGCCGCACAGGCTAAAGCCCAGACCCTAAACCTCAAGCCCTAAGCCCCTCAGGTTGTCCTAATCCACCAGAATGGCCGGAACAGCACCCATCAACCAAACTGGCAGCAGATCAGATCCCAAAGGGTCCACGCAGGGATAGAATATACCCTATACCATTAGGGGTACCTTCAAAGTGTCGCTATACGGGATCTATAAGGATTATATAGGGGTTATAGGGAATATTTTCGGTTTAGGGTCTAGGGCTTAGGGCTGGGGATTTGGTATATACTCAGGGCCTAAAGGCATCCCAAACCTACCTTGGGACCTGAGCAGCTAGTACGTAGCTAACATTGAGTTTAATGGTTTAGGGTTATAGCTACATGGAATTGATGGTTTGGGGTGGACCCTTTTGGGAAATTACGTCAGTGTTTCACTCTTGCAAGCGCGCAGGCCCTTCGTCAAGGGCAGGACATGATTCCAGGTACTGAGGTCGATTTTCGCGCATATTGCTAATATAGATGTCCCTTTAGCAGGCCTTGAAGGGGTATATAGGGATAATGGAGAATAGAAGGGCCATATAGGGATAGTCGAAAATCAAATAAGAAATTTTCAGATGACATGGAAACTGGGATTACGCTGGCCATATTCGGTTTAGGCGATTTGGGCCTACAGTTTCCTATTGTAGGAAATCCTGCCTGCGGGTCCCCCTATTAAGGAATATAGCATAGGGCTTACGGCCCCTCCTGAAGTAGATAGAATATGGGGCATATGGGGATCTTATTATAATATACCCAAAGCCATATTCTATCTACTTAAGGCCTAAACCCAGGACTGTATATTGAGGTCTCACCCAATTTAATTCTGGAAGCTATTTATATGGCCAATAAGGTATGCGATGATCTGACTGTACAAGATTGCAGCTTGCAGTGCGCGCTGCCTTTTCCCAGGCCCTTGTAGGATTTAGGGTTTAGGGTTCAGAGATTCCCAAAATGGAGCCTTGCAAAATTCCTTTAGTTTTTCCGTGTAGTAATGGAGTCTTGTTTTGGCTGCTCCATGTTTTAGATGATTTAGGGGGTCTGGAGCTATGGTAACCCAATTTTGCGCGGTGTCGCGCCAGAGTAATAATAAGCGGGAGAAAGCATGGTAGAGTGCTTGAGACAGCAACCTGATCCAATCGGATTGGGTTTAGGGGCTTAAGGGTTAGGGCTTAAGGTTTAGGGTGTCGCACTTATCCCATCGGCACAGGACTCACGCCGTTTGATACATGGGGTGGTTCTAGCGCGCTTGGGAACTGCATGATGTCGAGCGCGATTTGTACAGCTACAGATGCGTCGGATTTCTGTCGGGCCCTAAACCCTATAATCCCTCCTGAAGTGGCTAGAATATGGCTTTGGGCATATGATAATAAGATCTACATGTATACCATACCATAGTCTATTTACTTCAGGGGGACTATAAGCCCTGAAAGATGCAACTTGCATGGTAGCCTGACCATCGAACCCCAGGATCCAAATAGCCCTGAAGTATGTGCACATAGGGCTTAGGGCTTAGGGTTTTGGGTTTAGGGCTTAGAGTTTAGGATGTTTTAGGTCCCAAAGCAGGTGTTGCTCATAGGCTCGGGGCCCGAGGGTAGTCAAAACCAGTAAGTCGGTACGGAGTGCTGTTAGAGGCAGCCTGCCAGAAATCGCCGCGCAGCTGCCATCTGAAGGATGTGCGGCAAGTTGCAGTGAAGCAATGATGGCCTCAAGGGCCGTCCGCAAATCTGACGACGGATGGAGCATAACAAGCAACAACACGCCAGTCAGCCACAACTAAATGAAATTCTTCCGCATGCAATGTCCACAGCGTCGTCCAGGACATGCGCCTATCCTAGCTAGTGTCTCACATCGTCAAATGTCACGTGAGCGATTGCCAATTGCTCACAAGCTACCACCTTGGGGCTATTGAGACAATACCTCCAGAGATGTACTGCCACAGAACCGAATTGTGCAGCCTCAGGACACATGCATTCTGACTACCCTGGCAGTAAAGTTGCCTTGACTAGATGCGATGTCGGCAGTCGTTCGCCACACCAAGTGGAAGGGAATCCGGATGAGGACTCACCGGAAGGGCCACAATAAAAATCCTAAACCCTAGGCCTCAGGTATACAACATATCCCTACCCAACACCCTAAACCCTATACCTGCATATAGGTTATTCGTTATATACTATGATATATACATATATACTTTCTATAAGATACTATGTACTATGTTCCTACATGGACCTGTTTTAGCTACAGAGACTCC